CATTTCGAAAAATGTCAATACCATTGCAGAAATTAATCTATACCATTACACGAAAACTACCAATATAAATCTATACAATTTCACAAAATATAAATACCATTGCAGATTTAAATTATACCAATACGCTAGATAACCACTACCATTTCGGAAAACACCAATACCATTGAAGAAATAAATCAATACCATTACACTAAAACTACAACTACCAATACCATTTGGGAAAAACAATACCATTACACTAAAACTACCAATATAAACAATCTATATCATTACAAAAGTCAAAACAAAACCATTACAGAAATAAATCAATACCATTAAGAAAAACAAAACTACCATTTCATAACACGATACAAATAAACCAGTACCAAAAAAGTAAACCCAGATCTAGAGCCTCTCCTAGAGAGAGAGAGAAAGCGGAGGAAGAGGGGAGAACTTGACCGGTAATGGCAGCAGGTGGCCGATGAGTGAGAGAGAGACCGTGGGAATGGAGGAGGGTTGGGGTGGGTTGGGGTTGGGCATGGGAATGGAGGAGGTCGTGGAAATGGAGGAGGGTTGGGGTGGGGCGGCGAGGGGTAGCAAAGGAGGAAGGGTGGTGGTAGGAGGGTGTGGGAAGGGAGGAGGAGGATTGGGGTGGTTGGGTGTGGGTTTGGAGGAGGGTTGGGGTGGGGCGGCGGGGGTAGCAGAGGAGGAAGGGTGGTGGTGGGAGGGTATGGAAGGGGAGGAGGGATGGGGTGGGCGGCGGCCGGCGGAGGTAGCGGAAGAGGGTGGGTGGGTTGCAGTAGGATTAGGGTTTGGGTACAATATATAGAGTAATCAGGTGTGGTGCTTTTTTCATTTCCAAAATTACCCTTATTATAATATTTACCGTTAATTTAAAAATAACTTAAAATAAAGATAATGAACGGTGGAGATTTTGGAAGCCACCTTGATTACTGAAAATTAAGTAACCATGCTAACCCATTCCGTTATAAACATGATGTGAAAATGTGAATCATTAGTACTAAAGATGTTGTAAATCAATGATATTGTTATTCAAACTATTAATGACTATGTTACATAACTTTAATGATTCATTCATAGGCGTTGATGACGAAACTATAAAACAGTAACAATTGATCCAAAATTGTTAATAATGTAATTGTAAGGAATTGATAAATATATTGAAGTCGTTAATAAAGATGAGGTATAATAATAACGATTCATTTCATAAATGTTGATAATGTCATTGCAAAATGTTAATACTGTATTGCAAGTTGCCACGAAGTGAGAGAGAGCATATATTTTTAATTTTTAATTTTAATTTTAAAAAATAAAAAATATTAAGTTCAAATTTATTAAATATTAAATGATAATATTTAATTAATTTAATTTCGAATTTCCTTTTAATTGTAGTGGAGAGAGAGGGTTATGGAGAAGATCAAGGGGGAGAGAGAAAGAGAATCATTAGTGAGTAATATTAATTATATTCTCATAATATCTTATTTATTCCAACTAACTATTAACTACTAACCCTTCATTAACTACCTAATCTAGTATCAATTATTACCATTATAAAAAAAACTACCTAATCTAGTATCAGCCAATAAAAATGATTTAAGAACCTCTTTAAACAATGAGGTTTAAGGACCGGATCCAACCCGAGTTTTTTGATGATCCAATTAAGTTCTTTTATACCACTAGGCACTAGGCTCAGCCTCACAAACGATCCAATTAAGGCGTCATTTTGATCCTGTGATTGGTGAAATGGATGGATAATTAAAAATTTGACGGTTAATAGATTATGTGAATATTGAAGATAACTTATTAGAAAGATTATAGCGATAATTAGATTGGTATATAACAATTCAACTAAATACTATTTTGATGTTTAGATAAATTCCGACATCATATAAAAAGTTTTTTAAATCTTGTAGGTCTTCGAGGATTAAACTAATAAGAGTTTATGGACAAAACCACGGATAGTAGTATCAATTTTTGGAAAAAATCGTAAAGTACACTAGTTCTTAAAAACAATTCTCAAAATAGATAAGTTACAAAAAAATTTCCAAAACTACACATGTTTGGCATTATTCACTGCGTTCGTCAAAAACGGTGAACATTTCACCGTTTTAAAATAAAACGATGACGTGTTCACCGTCTTTGTATAAAGCGGTGAAGTGTTCACCGCGTTAAACAAAAACGGTGAAGACGTCACCGTTTAAGTTAAAAGTGGTGAAGACGTCACCGTTTAAGTTAAAAGCGGTGAAAACTTCACCGTTTTAGGGCAAAGCGGGGAACATCTTCACCGCCGCAGGCTAAGGCGGTGATTATTTCCCACGTTTCCCAACTCTGGTAGGTGAAAATTAGGTCACGACTACTTAATGTTCACCGTTTGAGACAAACACGGTGATGATGTTCACCGCGTTTGACAAAGGCGGTGAACATTAGCCGATTTTTCTATAAATACCACACCACCAGCAGTTGTAAAAACATAACCATTTCCCCCTCCGGAAGGTGGAACGTATAGGTTTCGGGACGCCATCGCTCCGCCATTGCTGTAAGCAGATCGTTGTCGATTTCGATCCGCATGAAATGGCGCAACATACCCAATCCGGTCCTCTCTATATAGGGCGCCAACCATGGATGCCAAGCGGGCAAGTTTGTGGTCCCTTTATGAACGACGGGAATAAGTGATTCCCTTAAGAAAATAGGAAAAACATCAATTTATTAGTTTAAATAAAGCAAAATAAAACCTTAGAAAACAATAGAATAAAGCAAATAAATCATCAAATTACCGGATTGTTATCCCAAATAGCACGGGAGCGATGAGCTTCTTGATCGGTTAAGAGTCTCATATCTCTTGACCCATAATGGATATACAATCGATGATCGTATATCTCGGCACCCATCTATAAAAAAAGTAATGAAATCAGAGATTGTTTTGATAAAAAAAATCACAAAATCAAATTGTTTTGATTAAAAATAAAAACACAAAAAAAAAACCAAAAACCTACACGAAGAGCCTCTTCGTCCATTTTTTGGCAGAAGCCGGACAGAGGTTCGACGGGTTTGGGTTTGTAAGGGATGGGAGCTTTAGGGTCAAACTCTAGTAATTCTTTCTGATGTGGAAGATCGGACTTATCCGCAACCACAGAGCATACTTAGAACGAGACTAGAGCGGATTAAATTGAGGGAGAAAGAATAATAATTGTTGTGGTGTGATTTGTAAGTGGGGGGAATGGTCTATTTATAGTGTGTGTGTGTGGGGTGGGGGGGTGGGGGGGAGAGGGGGGGGAGGGATCTGCCGAGAGTAAATTCGGGGATGCTTCACTGTCTTCGTCGAACACGGTGAATACACCGCCTTTGTCGAAGACGGTGAAAGGGGCGACGTGGAGCAGATGTGAGGCGTCGGATCTGGGAAGAAAACCACGATCCGCGCCTCACCGCATCAGACGGCCACGGTGAAAGGAAAAGCGACGCGGATTGCTGACGCAAACAAACACGAGGTATTCACTGTGTTTGTCTAACGTTTGTCCACGTCAGCGATCCACGTCGCTTCATCGTGGCCTAAAGAAACGATTAGACTATCATCGCGTTTCATTAAAACGATGATCTATTCACCGTTTGCCTCTAAAACAGTGATTGACTTGCTCGTTGTTCACCGTTTAAGGGAAAAACGGTGAATACGTCACCGTTTTTTTTTAAACCGTGAAATATTCACCGTCTTTGTCAAACGCGGTGATAGTCTTCACTGCGTTTGTCAAAAACGGTGAATGCCAAACATGTGTACTTTGGGGGAAAAATTTAGGTTAAATACACTTGTATATCCAAAACTTTCACAATTGTGCCAATAATATCCAAATTTCCCGAAATACCACTTATATCCAATTCATTCACATTCTTTAAAGGTGTTTTTGGATATACAAGTGTATTTAACAAAAAATATATTCAGAAATGGATAGATTTGGCAAAGAACAACTTTAAAACATGGATATAAGTGGTATTTCAGAAAATTTGGATATTATTGGCACAACCGTGAAAGTTTTGGATATACGAGTGTATTAAACCAAAAATTTATGACTTACGTATTTTGGGAAATTTTTTTAAGAACCTGTGTACAGTGGGATTTTTTCTATCAATTTTTATAAAAAAGCCTAGCTACAACTACAAAATTTCGTTACACCCATTCTATTAGAAAATTTTACTCTCTTTATGTCTCAGTCTAGGGATGGCAATGGGGCGGGTTTGGGGCGGGTTTTCCTAAACCATCCCCTTCCCTATCTTCAAATACCCAAATCCATACCCGGCTCATACCCATGCGGGGAATGTTTTGCAAACCCATCCCCAACACCCATTAATACATAATATAGACTACAATATTTTTTAAATTACTATGCTCTAACTCTTGATACATTTTCTAAGTAATAATTAACTAACATAATCTTGTTGACAATGGGGAAAGTGAAAGAGTGGAAGGAGAATTGAGGGAAATGAATTAGGTTTTGATTAAGGTGGTTACTCAATTGCATTTTTACTATTTATTTTCCCGAGTTATCATCATCATCATTGATAGATTACAATTTAATCCACATATTTTTTATATTTGAAGAAATTCTCTTGGTGGGGCGGGTATGGGTATGGGTATGGGGCGGGGGAGGCTAAAATCATACCCGCCCCATACCCATCAAACTTTTTGCGGGTTTTACCCATACCCGCCCCATACCCGATCAAAGCGGGGATTCCCCGCGTTGACTGGGTCGGGGGCGGTCGGGTACCCGCGGCCATGGGTTTGATTGCCATCCCTACTGTCTCGCCGATCATGAAAAGCATTGTGAAAATGCCACCTCTCTAACACTTACAACTTGTCAAGAAGAAAGCTTAATTGTACACAACTACACATAAGGAAGATGAATAAACCTCAGTACCCAAGTTGCAAACACACTCTGTTATACAGAGTCCAGAAAGAAGATAAACCAAAAATGAAGCTGGAGAAAGATCCTTTGCCCGAGCTGGTAGCAGAGCCAACCGAAGCCAGATAGATCAATGTCAACCCTTGGCAGTCACAAATACGTTGCCCCCGAGACATCAAAGATGAAGGCCATGTATGTGGTATCAACATTGTTGAATTTGCGGAACTGAACTGAACTGAACAATAAACAACACACCGATTTACGTGGTTTCCCCGATAACGGGACTAGTCCACGGGAGAGTTTTACCTCTCCGAGCTGAGAATATTATTAGGTTTTTCGTAGTCCTGGCTGGTAGGTTACAACATGAATTTATACAACTTCCTCCCTTCTAGCCTTCTACATACATCGCCTGGCTAGGGTTCTCTACTGGGCTAAAACCCGAAACTACATACATGGGCCACAAACCAAACCCAAAAGACCCAAACCCGCTAACAGCCTCCCCCAAATTGATGACTACTCCGTAGCATCAATTTGTCAGAGAGGAACCAGTGGCGAGCACGAGAGAACGGCTTCGTAAACAAATCTGCCAGCTGATCTTCAGAGATCACATACTTCAGGCGAACAATCCCGTCACGGACCAGATCTCTAATGTAATGAACATGAATCTCAATATGTTTCGTACGATCATGGAGAACCGGATTGGCCGCAATCTGAATCGCACTCGTATTATCCACATATATCGTGAGCGGAGAACTACACTGCACACCCAAATCCGCCAGTAGCCGCTGCAACCATACCAATTCAGAACCCAAATCAGACATAGCCCGATATTCAGCTTCCGTCGAGCTCTTAGACACCTTGTCCTGTTTCTTGCACCGCCAGTTAATAAAAGCACCACCAAAACGAATACACCAACCCGTCGTCGAACGACGAGTGTCCACACACCCAGCAAAATCAGAATCAGAAAAAGCCTGCAGAGTAGAGTCACCCGTGGACGGGAGAAAAAGACCTACATCCCTCGTCCCCTGTAAATAACGTAATATACGATGAACGGCAGCCAAGTGATCCGTTCGAGGATCCGACATAAACTGACTCACGACCTGTACCGCATAGGAAATATCGGGACGAGTAGAAGTCAAATATATCAAACTGCCAACCAAATGCCGATACTGGGAGGGATTAGAAAGTGATGCACCAGAGTCCTTGGCCAGTTTCAGATTAGCTTCCATGGGAGTAGATACCGAGACACAATCAGCAAAGGCGGCCGATGTCAATAGCTCCGAGATATACTTCTTTTGACTCAGCAAAATACCCTGGGGAGATCGATTAATCTCAAGACCCAAGAAAAAGGATAGAGGACCAAGCTCCTTCAACGTAAAAGACTCATGGAGACCCTTCTTGAGTCGCTGGATGCCGGACAAATCATCGCCTGTAATAATCATGTCATCCACATATAAGAGTAGAACAATAAGCCCAGCAGCTAACCGATGAGTAAACAATGAAGGGTCATTAAGACTTTGTTGAAAACCGAGACCGAGAATCGTCGTTTGGAACTTCTCAAACCAAGCGCGGGGCGCCTGTTTGAGACCATAGAGCGATCGTCGAAGCAAACAAACCTGATCTGGGCGCCCAACCTTATAACCCGGGGGACGACGCATATAAACAACCTCCTTTAAATCACCATGCAGAAAAGCATTCGAGACATCCAGTTGAAACAAAGGCCAGTTGCGAGTGGCAGCCACCGCAAGGAGAGTCCGAACCGTTTGCATTTTCGCAACCGGAGCAAACGTTTCCTCATAATCCAGCCCGTACTCCTGGCCACAACCTTGAGCGACAACCCGAGCCTTCGGGCGCTCAATACTCCCATCGGCGCGAAGTTTCAATGCATAGACCCATCGGGAACCCAGAACTGGCACATGAGGAGGCGGCCTGTCCACGACTTCCCAAGCACCCTTAGCATGTAGGGCATCTATCTCCACATCCATCGCACCATCCCACATCGGATCACCGTGAGCCTGCTTAAAACACGTAGGAACAGAAACAGCGTCAACATTATATGTAACAAAATCATTATACCTCACTGGGCGTTGGCCTTGCGTAACCCGATGAGACCGCCGAAGAACAGGTTGCTCCACTGGCGGCGAGGAAGACGAGTCCTCCGACGAGCTGGTCGAAGAAGAACCAGGAGAGCCAGACGACGATCCGACAGGAAGCGAGTCGGGGGGAGGCGAGTCGGGGGGAGGTGGTGCATCAACAACGTCATCAAGATCATCCGGAAATGAAGGCAACCGAACAGGTCCCGATAACCAACCCGAAGAAGTATCCGAATCCGCCGTAAAATACATGGTCCGTTCAAAAAATATGACATCACACGAGATCCGAAGACGCTGGGCAGAGGAGTCAAAACATAGATACCCTTTGTGAACATCACTGTAACCAAGAAAAACACACCGAACAGTTTTGGAAGACAACTTCGTGCGTTCCTTTCTTGGGAGTAAGACAAAACACAGACATCCAAACACCCGGAGCCGGGAATAATCCGGATGCTTCTGAAAAAGCATGAAATGCGGACTCTTCTGCCCAAGAACCGGAGTAACCTGGTAATTAATCAATCGTACAGCAGTGGCAACTGCCTCAGGCCAAAACCGGGGCGGAACGGAGGACGCAAGCAGCAAAGCGCGAGTCAATTCTACTACATGCCTATTCTTTCTTTCAACTAGGCCATTCTGCTGAGAAACACCGGGGCATGATTTCTGAGTTAAGATACCCTGTTCTCGAAAGAAAGCAGCCAAAGGGTGAGAACTGAACTCACCTCCGGGATCCGAGCGTACCACCTTCACTGTATGCCCAAACTGTGTCTGAATCATCTTAACAAACTCCTGAGCAACAGCAAGCAACTCAGATTTAAGCCGAAGAAAATAAACCCAGGTGAACCGAGTCGCATGATCGACAAACAAAGCAAAATACTTATAACCATGGCGGGACGTATCCGGCGAAGGACCCCAAAGATCTGTATGAACCACATGAAAAGGTTCCGATATAACGGTAGTACTAGAAGGAAATGAGCTACGCGTCGTCTTGGCCTCAATACAACTAGTGCAAACAAACTCACCAAAGGAGCTATCAACCTTTTTATTACCAAATAATTGCTGTTTGAACATACTACTCAGTCTACTCGAATGAGGATGACCCAAACGAGAATGCCAAAGATCGATATCCGAATTCTTAACACTAGAGAAAGCCGAAAACAAAGGCTAAGAAATTGATCCCCTAGACACCAAACCCGACGCCTCAGGAACCGACTCCGACGAACAAGGTTGACCCGACAGCTCCTCCAGCTGAAAACTTCTCCCCCGTTTACTTCCCCGGCCGATCTGCCTCCCCGTCGTCCGATCCTGAATAACACAGCCAGAAGAGTCGAACACAACACGATAATTTTGCTCAGTGAGCTGACCCACCGAAACCAAGTTTGGCACTAGTGTAGGAACATGTAATGTACGAGGTAACGATAGCCGAGAATCCTGAACATCACCAATATTCTCAACAGAGAGGCGAGACCCATTAGCCACTTGAATAGACAAATTCTTAACTGGGCGAGCATCACACATCTTAGTCTTATCATTTGTCATATGATTAAAACATGCGGAATCGAGAAGCCAAGGTTTAGATAAAATACCAGACCCATGCATCGTAGAGAATGCATTGGTAATTGCTGTGGGAAGTGACCGGTGAAGAGCAGCATTAATGAGCCTCTCCACATCCGCTGCAGTCAAGCCCGAGCTAGCCGAGGACGCAGACGAGCCCTCTCCCGGACCAGCAGCAGCAGATGGGGCACCAGCAGCCGAGTACGCACCCCCAGCGGGAGCAGCGGGCGATTGCGACATACCCTGAGGACGAGCCTTCAACCTTCGGCACTCCGAGATGATGTGCCCTCCTTTCTTGCAAAACACACAAAAATTGCGAACCTTGCAATACTTTTGAACATGACCCACCTCTTGACAATGATGGCAGGTAAGCTCCGACACCGGAACTCGACGCTGAAATTGCGGCTTCCCCACCGCAAATGCTTCATCTCCCGCAACAGGAGAGGGAGCTTCATGGCGACGTGAATGACCAGCCACAAATGCATGATCACCCACTCCAGGCCGCGCGTCCAACTGTGATTGCGTACGCAATCTCGTCTCTTCTCGGACCAACGTGCTCAACACCCCGTCAAACTTGATGTCTTCCCGATTAAGCAACGTTGCCCGGACATTCCCAAACTCAGGCCGAAGCCGCATCAAGAAGTTCATTAGCCGAGTCTGATTCCGCTCAGCAACAACATCAGCCGTCACTGCCGCTGGTCGAAGCGAAGCAGCCAAAAGGTCCTGCTCCGTCCAAAGCAGCTGAGCAGCCTGGAAATACGCCGTCACATCCAGGTCTCCCTGTTCCAAACGAGCGAGCGCCGTTTGCAATTCGAATTGTCTAGCGACACTCGTTGTCGAGTACGTGGAAGCCAGATAGGCCCACATCTCCGACGCAGCTGTGAACAACCTTAAACCCAGAGCAATATTCGGATCCACTGATCCGAGAATCCAAGTCTTGATCCGAGCATTGTTTTGCACCCATCGCTCAAGCTCCTGCGCCGCAGCCGGCGGGACTTGAGGCCTCGGCAGAGAACCATCCAACAGCGGAAGAAGCCCTTTCCCTTCAACAAATATGCGAAATTGAAATTCCCATAACGCATAGTTCTTCGAATTGAGCCGAACAGACAACCGATCAGAATCGGCCACAGAAAGCTCTGATACCATGTTGAATTTGCGGAACTGAACTGAACTGAACAATAAACAACACACCGATTTACGTGGTTTCCCCGATAACGGGACTAGTCCACGGGAGAGTTTTACCTCTCCGAGATGAGAATATTATTAGGTTTTTCGTAGTCCTGGCTGGTAGGTTACAACATGAATTTATACAACTTCCTCCCTTCTAGCCTTCTACATACATCGGCTGGCTAGGGTTCTCTACTGGGCTAAAACCCGAAACTACATACATGGGCCACAAACCAAACCCAAAAGACCCAAACCCGCTAACAAACATTAAGGATCCTGTTGAGTGTGCAGATACATAACTGTAAATGGGGTGCAGCAACGGAACCATGTCGTTTATCGTAGTCTGCCAGCCTCAAACTTTTTTGAGAACCAACTGCAACATAAATTTTGGCGAGAGCTCTTCCGTCTCTCGGGAACGCAGCTCCAGATGTCCTCGTCTTACCATCCGAAGACGGCCGGCCAAACGGAAGTCGTCAATCGCTGCCTTGAGTAGTGCTTACGCTACTTCACCCACCAGGAACCTCGTCGCTGGATGAGTTTCCTGCCCTGGGCTGAATATTGGTATAACACTACTTTTCACAGCTCAACGGGACGACTCCATTCCATGTTATCTACGGTCGGCCACCACCACCGATTCCCTACTATCGGGCTGGCGATACTGTTGTCCATGCGGTGGACCAAGCATTGCTCGACCGCAATGAGATCATTCAACAGCTTAAACAGAAGTTAGGAACTGCCCAGGCCGACATGAAGCGCCATGCTGACGCTGGTCGACGTGACGTCAAATTCCAAGCTGGCGATCTCGTTTTCTTGAAGTTGCAACCTTACCGGCAGCATTCGGTCTTCAAACGTGCATCCCAGAGCTTGCCTGTAAGTTTTTTGGTCCATACTTAATTACTGAACGTATAGGGCCTGTGGCATATTGCCTGGCCTTACCTGCAGGCTCTCGAATCCATCCCGTCTTCCATGTCTCGCTCCTTCGTCGCTGCAACACCCCGACAACTGCTACTACTGCCATCCCTCCGGTTGCGGACGATGGGGCCATGGATTTGTTTCTGGAAGCCATCCTCGACTATCGCTGGAGGCCATGTGGGGAACGCTTCGTTGAGGAAGCTCTCGTCCAGTTGCGGGATCTCCCTGTTGAAGATTCTACGTGGGAGCTCTCCTCCTCTCTGCTTGCGGAATTCCCCCATCTTGGACTTGGGGACAAGTCCAGTCTTCCTGGGGTGGGGAATGATGAGTAATTATGATGAGGTTCGGCCCAAGAAGAGGCGGATAGTACGTAAAAGGGATCCGCACAGCCCATGCAGAAGCTCATACACACGTGGCTAGAAAGCCCACCAAGGAAGAAAGTACCATCAGTTGCTGCCTTCAACTATAGGAGTCGGGTTCCATTGATAAGGATGGATAGATTTGTTCGTTTGGTTTGTCTACAAACTCTCGATCACCTTAGATGATTCAGTGGGATATTGTCGGTTTTCTTTTATTTGATTTGATTTGATTGTTATGTAAAATCGGAAGAGCATCTCCTGAGACTCATCCGTTCTAGGTTACTTCTCCTATTTAAAGGAGTCGAATTCAATAAAGAAGGCGGTGAATTATTATCAAAACTTGAGTCTCCCAAACTGGTCGATTCTCGCCAGAAAAAGAACAACAAAATCACACCGTTGATTCAACGGTTCCAACATATATCAACATTAAAGATCCTGTTGAGTGCGCAGATACATAACTGTAAATGGGGTGCAGCAACGGAACTATGCCGTTTATCGTAGTCTGCCAGCTTCAAACTTTTTCGTGAACGAACTGCAACATAAATTGGCGTACAGGAGAAGAGAGGTGCGACTGAGACAAAGCCGTACAAGATTTTGTTATGAACAATTAAACATACAACTGACTGATAGAATACTGAGCATAAGTTTCAGAAACCAAAATACATGATGGATTGCAGATGTAAACATACTTGGAAAGAGCATTGCTCGCTCAGGCCGAACGACGACTACTACTACTACGGTTTCTAATAGCAGCAGAAACACATATTAAATAACATACTTCTCTCCCTGGACAGATTTGCATAGAGTATATAAGTTAAACCAAGTTTGGTACGCAGCTAAGGGAAATTTACTACTTGAGCAGGTCGGCATCTGGGGTATGGGAAGGAGAGGTAATGGTGGCAGTCAGTCAGCTTCTTCCTTCGTCATGGACTGGTGTTTGCTTTCATTTGTCTTTCTAAGTTTTTGTAATCATCAAACTCGTTCACACCAAACTCGCATATTCCCACAGGAGGATGTTTAATTTCTTTACGGCAATAGATGCAACCATTGCGGACACCATCTGCATAAAGCAAAGTAATAAGCATCATCATTAAGAACTTGAGATATCTAACCATCCATCTATACTATAAGCAATATGATAACACTTAATTGAATCGACAATACACAGATAACTACACTACTTACTGTCTCCAAAAGTATCCAACTTGACACATTTGAGAATGTTGAAATCTCCCCCGTAGTATCTGATGGCCTCAGCAAAAAACAACGGACTGGAAGGGTTGTTTCCTTCCTTGGGCTCCTTGGCGGTGAAGTTGAAATGGAAAACCATCACACGTTCAAAGAGAATGCAACGGCAAAGAAAGGGCTTGTCAAACACATAACTCACGCACTGTTCATCATCAAACAATAATAATAGATATAAGTAAGCAATTTGATCCATAGACTGGGAAACAGGGAATTGAACAAGCTCTGCTAGCGAAGTGATGATTGAAAAACACAAAAAGCAAAACAACATACTTCCGTCTTGTTGTAGTATTCTAAAGCTATATCAGCAAGGCCTAGAGTGTCCCTTTTCATCCTTTCTTCCTCCTCGGGCTTTAGATCTCCGTCCTCGTCTTCCGAAGAAGAACTACAATCAATATGACTGAGTGAGATCATGATCATAAAGTCATATCCAATGAAGCATACATGCACATGATAACAGGCTGAAGGAAACTAATTACCGAACAACAAGAAGACACCTAACTATCTATCTAGCTCACTCCCACTAATCGAACCCACGACTAACTATTCCAACGTAACACATACAGATACATGAATTAATTCCAGCATAACACCATCACCAAAAATTGAACAACAAACAGCGCAAATTAATACACTCACCCAAAATCAGTATTCATCGACCTCATAACTATCTCGTGCCATGGGCTCTCAGGATCTAGTCCCAACCAGGACCAGGACATAGGACTAGACGGTTTCTCGAACGACTCATCTCCCACATGCACCTCTTCATCAGGTGCTCCTGAATCCAGCAGGTTCCTCTCCGGAGAAACCACCGGCGCCGGACTCACACTAGAAGAAAAAGATGACGATGGCGGCGGATCTGCCGCACCAACCTCCAGCTGCTCGTCATGATGATCAGGTCGATCTTCCGTCTTTTGTTTTTTGGGCGAAGGAGGTTCTCCCATCTCCTGCCTCTCCGAGATTTTATCTTTTCCCCAAACCATTGTTTAGTTGATTGTGAACGGCTGGAGGACGGTAACGCTTCTTCTTCCTATATGTCTCGCTCGTCTCAGGGTTTCCGTCTCTCCTCGAAATTAGGGTGGGCCTTTTCATTCCCAGTAAACAACAGAGATATCCAAAGCAAGCCTAGCCCAATTAACAGCCCACCCAGCCCGCCACTCTTTTCTTTTCCTATTTTTGCCATTTGCCAAGGCAAGCACAAAGGATATGGTACAAACATGGATGACAACAAAATTCGAACCCACTGATATTCTATCCGACTCAATCCGGTCAAAGCGTGTAAAATCCGTGTTGATAGTTTTTAGGTCGGGTTCGGGTTTAAACCCGTTGCACTATTCACCGATTTGGGTTTATGATAGGGGTGGGCAATCGGTTTGATAAACCCGAATCGAAATCAAACCGAAACTGAATGAAATCGAACCGAATCGAAACCGAAATGTTGTTTGGTTCGGAATTCGGAAGGAAAATATGAATATTTCAGAAACTAGGATTCTTTCAGCTGAAATTCCGACCGCAAAACCAAATTACTATAATTGCAAGCTACAAATGGTGGATTTTTATGTTTGTAATTGTTTTGAGACATATATATTTGAATTATGTTAGTGTTTTATGACTTATGATGTTGAAATATTTGATTTTTTCTTATCAATGAATAAATACTTTACTTGTATGACTTAGATGTCTTGTATTTCTCGAAAAAGTGATTCGATTGATGGATTTGGTATGATGCATATAATTGCATATTTATTGTTTATATTAGGGGTGAAAATAATATAAAAGGGAGAAGATACAAGTAGCGTCACAAATTCGGTTTTGTGTGAAATTCCAAGCCGAACCGAATTATAATTATGTTCAAATTCGGTTTGAGGTTTGGGAAAATTTCGGGGACCCGGTATTCATAATTTCGGTTCATTCGAAACCGAACCGAACGAATGCCCACCCCTAGTTTAGGCATACCGCCTCATGGGTACCCGCCCACACCAATATAATTAATTTTTTGGTGTATAATATTCAAAGTAATATATTTTTCTTAAGCAACTAATCATCGTTATGTTTGTGAAGACATGTACAATTTGTTCTTCCTAATTGTGTAGTATAAAGTTGATATTCTGGAGTGGAGAGTAAAGAAGTTTAGTTGATAAGGAAGAAGAAGCTTTCAATTAATCATGTTCTTTATAGATGTTTATCTTAAATGTTGAACAATTTGTATGGATATTTTATAATTTGCTTGTATGCTCTAGATTGGTGTTTTTTTTTTATGAAAAAACTGATTTTAGACTTTTATTTTGGCAAAATACACTTTCATAGCCATAAATATTCGCGTTGTTACAAACATATCCAAATTTTGAAAAATACACTCATATAGCCATTCCGTTCAAAAGTTTAACGACACTGTCACGACTGCTGACTGAACAAACGGTTGTTGATGACATGGTGAATTTTTGTCGACGTGACAATGTGACGTGGAATATATATATTTATTTATTTATTTAAAAAAATCTACTTTACCCTTTCCTTTTCGACCTATTACACCCCACCGCCGGAGATTCCTTCCCTACGACGCCGACACCTCGCTCCCCACCTCTCCCCTCTGTCACGACCTTACTCTCGATCGTGCGGCCCTAGCTCTCAATTCCGTTAGAGAGCTAGGCAGCCTTCTCTCAAACTCACAAACAAGCAAAGAATAAGAAAGCAAGACAAAGGATTGGGAGAACTCTCTAGTGTGTATTACTCTCAAAAATGATGGAATGAGTACAAATGAGGGAGATGGCTCCTTATATAGGCCTCTCCACATACAAGGCATCAATGCCCTCATAATGTCCCTCTACTACATCAATACACCCATTAAGTCCCCCCATTATGCACTCTATCAATGTCGCCATTATGTGACTCATAAGTGCACTATAAAGCTCTACATTATGGTGGAGAATCCTAGGAGCATCTCTATGCTACTAGTCTTCCATGCATGCCACATGTGCAGCCGCCATGTTGTCACTTTGTTGGCGCCATGTCATCTGCCACATGTGACATCCTCCCCCACCTATGCTCGCGACGGCCTCGTCGCGTCCTCTTGATGGAATGCTTCGATCAAGTCCTTGTTCTTCCAAAGCGTGAGCTCTTTCTCCCAAGTTGCTTCACTCTCCGGAAGGTTGCGCCACTTGACTAAGTACTCCACAAAGCTTGGATGTACGCCACGACGAGGAATGACACAACGCGCCATGATTTCTTCAACTTCATGGTCGTGTGCCTTGGTGATGAGTGTTGGAGCGCGCTGCGACTCTCTTCGTTGCTCATCCTCCTTGTCTTCGTGGTAAGGCTTGAGTTGGCTCACATGAAAGACCGGATGGATCTCCAAGTGCGTCGGCAGCTCTACCTTATATACCACGTTGCCAATCCTCTTCACGATGGGGAATGGCCCTTCATAGCGGCGAAGCAGTCCCTTGTGCACGTTCTTGAGATGCTTGAAGCGGTGAGGATAGAACTTGACCATCACCATGTCTCCTTCTTCAAACTCCAAGTGCCGCCTCTTCTTGTCCGCCCATTTCTTCATCTTCTTGCTAGCGCGGGCTAAGTAAGACTTGGCCATCTCCATCTTCTCGTGCCAGCCTTTAGCGAACTTGTAGGCTGCCGGACTGTTGCCTCTATACCCCGTTGCCACCGTCGTAGGTGTCAAAGGTTGTTGCCCCGTCGCCAACTCAAATGGACTCGTGTTGGTCGACTCGCTGCGGTGCAAGTTGTAGGAGAACTGTGCCGTGTCCATCAACTTCACCCAATCTCGCTGGTTTGCACTCACGTAGTGTCGCAAGTACACCTCCAACAAGGCATTCACCCGCTCCGTCTGTCCGTCGCTTTGAGGATGAAATGCCGTCAAGAAGTTCAAGTCTGAGCCCATGATCTTGAACAACTCTCGCCAAAACCTGCCCGTGAAGCACCCATCTCTGTCGCTCACAATGTTGCTAGGAACGCCCCAATACTTGACCACGTTCTTGAAGAATAGACGTGCCGCATCCTCTGCCGTCAAATCTTTTGGTCCAGGAATGAACACTCCATACTTCGAGAATCTGTCCACCACAACCATGATGCAACCGCATCCATCGACTTTGGGAAGTCCGATGATGAAGTCCATGCTTACACTCTCCCATGGTCGTTGAGGCGTGGGCAAGGGCTCTAGCAAGCCTGCCGGGCTTCTCTGCTCCATCTTGTCTTGTTGGCACACAAGACAAGTCTTCACATACATCTCCACGTCGTCTCTCATACGCGGCCAGAAGTATGCTTCTTCGATGAGCGCTTGCGTTCTCTCGATGCCGGGATGACCCGCCCACTTGGAATCATGGCACTCCTTCATGATCTCCTTCCTCAAGTTGGCCCACCTTGGCACGAACACCCCCTCTCCCTTGGTCATGATGAGCCCATCCTTCATCCAAAACCGCCGAGTTTTACCTTGCTCGATGTACTCCGCTACGGTTTTGGCGAAGGGGTCATGGCCAAGGCCTTCAACGATCCGCTCCTTCAAAGGAAACGTGGGCTGGCTGATGCTTGCAGCTGCACTCTTGCGGCTAAGAGCATCGGAAACGGAATTCACCTTGCCTGGATTGTACTCCATAACGAAGTCGAACTCGGCCAAAAAGTCTTGCCACCTTGCTTGCTTAGGGGTGAGCTTCTTCTGCGTCAGAAAGTAGCTCGTTGCCACGTTGTCCGTCTTCACTACGAACTTTGACCCCAACAAGTAGTGCCTCCAAGTGCGCAAACAATGCACCACGGCCGTCATCTCCTTCTCTTGAACGGTGTATCGCCTCTCCGTCTCGCTGAGCTTCCGACTCTCGAAGGCAATGGGATGCCCATCTTGCATCAACACGCCCCCAATTGCAAAATCGGATGCATCGGTCTGCACTTCGTAGGCCAACGTCGGGTTGGGGAGCACGAGCACGGGCTCCTTCACCACCGCTGCCTTCAAGGCCTCGAATGCTTCTTGGCACCTTTCCGACCAATCCCACGCCTTGTTCTTCTTCAAGAGATCCGTCAAGGGTGCTACAATGTTGGAGTAGCCCTTGATAAACCTCCGATAGTAGTTGGCAAGGCCGAGGAATGACCGCAACTCTGGCACCTTCGTCGGCGGCTCCCATTCTTGGATTGCCTGCACCTTGGCTCCATCCATCTTCAACTTGCCTCCACCAATGATGTGTCCCAAGAATGGAACCTCCTTGGCGGCAAATGTGCACTTCTCCCTCTTGACGTACAACTCGTTGTCGCGAAGGACTTGGAAGACTTGGCGTAGATGCTCGGCATGCTCATCGAGTGTTTTGCTATACACGACGATGTCATCCAAGTAGACCACGACAAATCGGTCCAAGAATGGCTCGAACACTTGATTCATCAAAGTGCAAAATGTGGCTGGTGCGTTGGTGAGGCCGAATGGCATCACGAGAAACTCGTAAGAGCCATACCTCGTCACACAAGCCGTCTTTGGCTCGTCGCCCTCTGCTATCCGCACTTGATAGTAGCCCGAGCGAAGATCAAGCTTGGTGAACCACATTGCATCTCCAAGCTGGTCGAACAAGTCGGCAATGTTGGGAATCGGCCACTTGTTCTTCACCGTCAACTTGTTGATGGCTCTATAGTCGATGCACATCCGCAACGACCCTTCCTTCTTCTTTTGGAACAGCACCGGTGCTCCAAAAGGTGACTTTGATGGTCGCATGTAGCCTGCGTCCACCAAATCTTTGAGTTGCCTCCGCAATTCTTCTAACTCCGGTGGCGACATGCGGTATGGTGCTCGCGAAGGGGGCTTCGCTCCTGGCTCCAACTCGATCTTGAGGTCCACCTCTCTCTTTGGTGGCAGCTTCTTGGGCAACTCCGATGGCATCACGTCGTCGAACTCTTCGAGGACGTTTTCGATGATGGGAGTTGTGATCGTTGAGCCTTCTTCTTCCTCCATTTTCATGGACACAAGAAAGGTTGGTTCATTCTTCTTGAACCCCTTCACCACTTGCATGGCCGATAGAGCACTATGGGGACCATCTTCTCTCAAGAGATGGACCGCATGAAACTCCCCTTCCTTCTCCAAGCAC